TGTCACAAAACCATGAAAGGGACTTGGAGTACAGAAGAATATTAGCAAGGGAGGAAGAAAGTAAGCAATGGATTGAGCAGTGTTTCACACAATAATGAATGTAAAACACAACAACAAAAAACCCAACAGCCTAGAATTTATTAAATCCTACTCTTGCCTTGCCTGTTTAAAGCTGCTTCTTTTTCAAAGAAAACAAAACAAAACAACGCACTGCATTATAGTACTGACCTCAGCCCACAAAAACAACTGCAATTCGGCAGCAGCATTCACCACAACACCTGCCCTCTTACCCTCTCCCCAACTATTAAAAAGAGTGGGTGCTTGGCAGCAGAACAAAACTCCATCCAGTAGGAAAGTAAGATCTTAGCATTGCAAGGGGCTGGATGACCCTCTGGGTTCCTTCCAACTCTTTTGTTTAGTCGTTTAGTCGTGTCCGACTCTTCGTGATCCCATGGACCAGAGCACGCCAGGCACCTCTGTCCTCCACTACTTCCAGCAGTTTGGTCAAACTGGTAACCTCGAAAACACTATCCAACCATCTCGTCCTCCGCTTCACGATCTGTCCTTCCAGTGAGCACTCAGGGCTGATTTCCTTAAGAATGGATGCGTTTGATCTTCTTGCAGTCCATGGGACTCTCAAGAGTCTCCTCCAGCACCATAATTCAAAAGCATCAATTCTTCGGCGATCAGCCTTCTTTATGGTCCAGCTCTCACTTCCATACATCACTACTGGGAAAACCATGGCTTTAACTATACGGACCTTTGTTGGCAAGGTGACGTCTCTACTTTTCAAGATGCTGTCTAGGCCTGCCATTGCCCTTCTCCCAAGAAGCAGGCGTCTTTTAATTTTGTGGCTGCTGTCACCATCTGCAGTGATCATGGAGCCCAAGAAAGTAAAATCTCTCACTGCCTCCATTTCTTCCCCTTCTATTTGCCAGGAGGTGATGGGACCAGTGGCCATGAGCTTCGTTTTTTTGATGTTGAGCTTCAGACCATATTTTGCGCTCTCCTCTTTCATCCTCATTAAAAGGTTCTTTAATTCCTCCTCACTTTCTGCCATCAAGGTTGTGTCATCTGCATATCTGAGGTTGTTGATATTTCTTCCGGCAATCTTAATTCCAGCTTGGGATTCATCCAGCCCAGCCTTTCGCATGATGTATTCTGCATACAAATTAAATAAGCAGGGAGACAATATGCAGCCTTGTCGTACTCCTTTCCCAATTTTGAACCAATCAGTTGTTCCATATCCAGTTCTAACTGTAGCTTCTTGTCCCACTGGCCTTGTTATTTGCAGTGCTTTCTAAGGCCCATTTGACTTCACTTTCCAGGATGTCTGGCTCAAGGTCAGCAACCACACTACCTGGGGTGTACGAGACATCCATATCCTTCTGGTATAATTCCTCTGTGTATTCTTGCCACCTCTTCTTGATGTCTTCTGCTTCTGTTAGGTCCTTACCACTTTTGTCCTTTATTATGGTAATCTTTGTACGAAATGTTCCTTTCATATCTCCAATTTTCTTGAACAGATCTCTGGTTCTTCCCATTCTGTTGTTTTCCTCTATTTGTTTGCATTGCTTGTTTAAGAAGGCCTTCTTGTCTCTCCTTGCTATTCTTTGGAAATCTGCATTCAATTTCCTGTATCTTTCACTATCTCCCTCGCATTTTGCTTGCCTTCTCTCCTCCGCTATTTGTAAGGCCTCGTTGGACAGCCACTTTGCTTTCTTGCATTTCCTTTTCATTGGGATGGTTTTCGTTGCTGCCTCCTGTACAATGTTATGAGCCTCCATCCATAGTTCTTCAGGCACTCTGTCCACCAAATCTAAATCCTTAAACCTGTTCCTCACTTCCACTGTGTATTCATAAGGGATTTGACTTAGATTGTATCTTACTGGCCCAGTGGTTTTTCCTACTTTCTTCAGTTTAAGCTTGAATTTTGCTATAAGAAGCTGATGATCTGAGCCACAGTCAGCTCCAGGTCTTGTTTTTGCTGACTGTATAGAGCTTCTCCATCTTTGGCTGCAGAGAATATAATGAATCTGATTTCGATGCTGCCCATCTGGTGATGTCCATGTGTAGAGTCGTCTCTTGTGTTGTTGGAAAAGAGTGTTTGTGATGACCAGCTTGTTCTCTTGGCAGAACTCTATTAGCCTTTGCCCTGCTTCGTTTTGAACTCCAAGGCCAAACTTGCCAGTTGTTCCTTTTATCTCTTGACTCCCTACTTTAGCATTCCAATCCCCTATAATGAGAAGAACATCCTTCTTTGGTGTCATTTCTATAAGGTCTTGTAAGTCTTCATAGAATTGGTCAATTTCAGTTTCTTCAGCGCCAGTAGTTGGTGCATAAACTTGGATTACTGTGATGTTAAAAGGTCTGCCTTGGATTCGTATCGAGATCATTCTATCATTTTTGAGATTGCATCCCAGTACAGCTTTCGCCACTCTTTTGTTGACTATGAGAGCCACTCCATTTCTTTTACGGGTTTCTTGCCCACAGTAGTAGATGTGATGGTCATCCAAACTGAATTCGCCCATTCCCGTCCATTTTAGTTCACTGATGCCCAGGATGTCAATATTTATTCTTGCCATCTCATTTTTGACCACCTCCAACTTACCCAGGTTCATGGTTCTTACATTCCAGGTTCCTATGCAATATTTTTCTTTACAGCATTGGACTTTCCTTTCGCTTCCAGGCACATCCGCAACTGAGCGTCCTTTCGGCTTTGGCCCAGCCGCTTCATCAGCTCTGGATCTACTTGTACTTGCCCTCCGCTCTTCCCCAGTAGCATGTTGGACGCCTTCCGACCTGAGGGGCTCATCTTCCAGCGTCATAACTTTTATATGCCTGTTGTCTTTGTCCATGGAGTTTTCTTGGCAGGATACTGGAAAATTCTATAATGCTTTGTTGCTATTTCCATTTTTATGGAGAAAATGATAAACAGAGAAATGGAAATAGGCATCTTCTTCCTTATGAGGTGATGGCACCAGCTGTGGCAGTCTCCACAATCCCTTCTCTCTCTCTCTCTCTCTCTCTCTCTCTCTCTCTCCCCCCCCCCCATAGTGGGCATGTGGCAAGTTAAGTTCTTGACATTTCCACATTGCTGAGAGAGAGAGAGAGAGAGAGTCCTCATGCACTTCAGTGTTTTAATGTGAATTTCTCCTAATATACACCTTTTGTGTGGAATTTCCCCTAATGAAACGGATTTTTGTATCTTATTTTGTACGCATTTTATGAGCATTTTACCCTAATCAAAGAATCATAGAATGTATGGATATTTGTACAGGTAACGCACAACTTACGTGCATTTAAATTGTGCATATTTGGCTTTACGCATTTGGGGGGAGAGAATAAAGGGAAAAAATTAAAGGGAATGTAAAAGGGGCGGGGTTGCAGGGGAAATGACTTTGGGAATCCCATCCACCATTGAACACAATTTGCTTTGACTAATACACAAATTTGACTTTAACACACGATCCCCAGAACATAACTCTTGAGTCAGTTGAGAGTTGCCTGTACACGTTATTTGGCTCAAGGACTGCATTGCAAAATTATGGGGGAGTGCAAATATCAATGGATGGCTGTGTTTTGGTTCACAACTTGTTTCAGCAAGTGTGAATTAAATAGATTCATCTTTACATGCAAATTGAATTGGATTTTTCCTCATCCCTAGAATATAACCAGGATGGAAAAAGAGTGTCCCTTCTCTCCTGTCCTTCAAAACATTTTACATGAGGGATTGTCAACGTTTTTTGAGCCACTGACACATTTTGATTTTTGAGAGAGTGCCAATCAGAAAATGGCTGCAATGGGGAGCATGGCATAACACAAAATTAGCATACAACCATCATGAAGCTTTTCTCATAATGGAGAAAAGGCTTAACTTGTTGAATTTCTGTTGAAAATAAGACAGGAACAGGAAAAGTGAATGAAAGGGCAGGGGGAAACAGCAGCTCTTTCAGACACTGTGGGTTCTTATTGCACGGTGCCCAAAAAACTCACTCATTAATCACAGCTCTTACTTCACTCACTGGCAAAAAAACCCCCACACATGCGGAAGCAACCAGGCTTGATCCTTTCACAGAAATTGTTTAGATGGGTACCTGCACATTTTGATTCCTAACTTTCTTTCTAAGAGGGATAGAGACTAACCCTGTTTTTAAATGGAAGCCTCTTGCCTGGGGGTTTCAAGGAAGGCTTTTACAGGCCCCATGGCACTTGTGGGTGCCAGGTTGATAACACCTCTTTCTCCTCCTAAATTGCAGTGTGTGGGGTGGAATCGTGACTGCGACTCCAGTGAGGATGGATGGGAATATTTAACCCTTTCCTCACCCACATAATCACTGCCCCCCTCCAACATGTGCAGACTGCCCCCTCCGCCACAGGGTGATGTAAGTCTGAGTGCAGAGTTGCTCTTCTGTTTCTAGGTTCAGAACAGAACAGCAACCATCGGGTTAAACGGTCCACATTTGGAAGCCATCTTGAAGCAGCTCACCACGAAAGGCAAAAATGCCCAAGTCATAATTAAATGTGTGGAAGACAAGAGAAAACCATTGTGGTTTTTACTCATGGGAAAAGACTGTGCCTCCAGGCGGGCCTTCTGCACACTCTGCCCAGAGTGTCTCTATGCAATAATTTACAGCCATATATATATATATTATTGAATTATTGTTTATTAAAGGCACCCTAGCCCCCCTGGAGATTCAAGCCCCGTACCTGCCACTTCACCTTGACTTCAGGTCAAGCCTGGAGGTCTGCTAACCCTACCCTGGAATGCCTAAGACGCCACAGATAGCGTCAAGAGCACAAATCATCCTGAATGAAATTTACAATACCCTTGCAAAGACACCTGAAAAGGAAGTCTGAGCAGCTACCACCGACTCCTGTGACATGCGACTGATTGAACTTGTCCTTCTTGAGATGCTTTTTGGGATGTCTCCAAATCCTTCTGCAATTGGCTCTTCACCCCCAACCATTTGAAGCACACCTTCTGCTCTGCCTCTTACCTGGTCTTCATCCACTGCTTTACACCTGGGGTCCATCTTGCTGTCCTTCGTTACTGCTGGAAAACTGGAGGAGTTCTGTTCCTTGGAGTGGTCCTAGGAGATCAAAAGAAGCAGAGACGTTTTAATGCAAATGTGCAACTGCCCAAGACCAAACTCCTTCACTTTAGTTGCCGGTTTCCACCCTGGCTGGCTAGCAGAAGGACCTCGTTTAATCCCAGCAACAGCCCTGTGAGATAGATTAGACTGGGAAGCAGTGACTGGCTTCTAAGGCCACCCAGTAAGAGCCATGGCCCAGTGGGTATTTTAATCCTGGTCTCTCAGTTCTTAGTCTGACACTCTTAACCACAACACCACATAATAGACTGAGTTGTCCTCAACAAACCTGACTTCAAAACAGTGCAAAAACTCAATAGGTTTTAATTAACCCTTCATCTTTGCTATAGTCAATAATGCCTGCCAATTTCTCATTAAATCTGACATAATCCCTTAAAATGGTCATTTAGGCAAACTACCACATTTTCACTCTGCGCAGTCACTAGCAGTCGGTATCACAGCTGATCTTTTTTACACATTTTACACAGCGAACCGGAAGTGGCCAAAAAAGGGGTCACAGCAAGAAGGAGCAGACTTATGTGCACTCTGCCGTTGCATTTTTTAATGCTATTTAGTTAATATATATTTTTCTTACAATTTCCCCTTGTAGCAGGAACCCCCCCACCCCAATCATTCTGCTTGTACAAACTTCACACACACACACACTCACACACTACATACGCCACATTTCTGTTATAAATTCATAGAAAAATCAACCATACATTGGATTTGCACTGTTCCATTTTTATTTTACTCCATATGACAAGAACTAACAAAAGGGGAGGGGGGTTTGACCCTGGTCAGCCAAAATCCCTTCACTGTCTCAGCACATCTGCAGGAGCCCTGCCCAGATGATCCCAGACAGAAGACAATCAAGACCACAAAGAACTTGCATATGGGAGTGGATTCAGCATGGACTGAAACAAAGGACAATGATCAGATCTTCCCTCAGGGGGCAGGAAACTGCAAACTCCCCTTTGTCTCCTGGAAGTGACTCATGGGGAGGGGGGAAAGGAGGAACCAGCCAGGTGACAAGATACTCAGGTTACCACCAACTCCTCCCTCAACCCCTCCTTTCTGTAATATATGCATGATGTTTCTGGGGGGTGGGCTTGACCTAGAGGAGGGGAATTTCAAAAGTTTTTATAAGACCTTGCACACTATTTTTCTGGGTCTTTCCTCTCACCTGCAAGTGAGGGGAACACCCTGTCGCAACAGTCTTTCTTCAATAAAGACCAGGCCTACAGGCTGCTGATTTGCTTCAATTTGCTCTGGTTGGTGCTTTATTTTTGTCCAAGGGAGCCCTAAGATTTTTCCTGTAACACCCTTTAATATGCACATTTTTCTACACATTACTCAAAGAGCTGCATTGCAAATTTCAGAGGCGTGTGAACTTGGGAGGAGAGCACAGTTTAGGTTCATGTACTGTTTTGAAAGTGAAAAACCAGATAGATGAAGATAACGATTAAATGCCCTGCCCTAATTAAAAGCAGCTAAAAGAAATTACAGTTCTAGGAATTGGGCAGGTCCCAAAAACACACAGTTAAATTGTGGAACTGGCTCCACAGGAGGCAGTGATGGCCATCAAATTGGATGGCTTTAAAAAAGAATTAGATAATTCATGGAGGAGAAGACTATCAATGACTACCAGCTGCAATGGCTCTGCTCTGCTTCATGGTTGGAGGCTGTATGCTTCTGAATGCCAGCTGCTGGAAACCACAAGGGCAGAGGAGACTGTTCTTGCACTCAGGATCTGGGTGGCCACTGTGAGAACAGGATGCTGGACTAGATGGGCCACTGGACCAAGTCCAGCAGGGCTCTTCTTGTGTTCTTATGTCAAAGAAGTGTGTCTTCGGCAATTGCAAAGTGCTATACAGTGAAACTGCCAGACACACCTCTTTGGGGAGGGAATTCCATAACCTAGGGGCTGCCACCAAAAAGGCCCTCTCCTGGGCCACCCCCTCAAAATTCTGGTGGCAACCAAGAGGACCCCCTTTGCCAGTCTTAACACAAGAGATTTTGTAGGGAACGAGGCGCTCTCTCCAGTATTTGGGGTCATGCAGATATTAAAATGTGAAGCCAGCTGGATTCCTCTTCCATCCCTCATTGTGATGCTGTTGTGCATAAGGCCCATGTTGCTGGAGTCTGCACCAAGAGGAGCCTCTTCCCAGGCCTTGGGGAGTGAGCATGCTCAACTCATGCCACTGAGACATCATCCAGACCCCAGGCAAAGTCCAAGGAAGCTACTGCCAAAACTTCTCATGGAGGGCAGCAATCTATGCACAAGCTCTGTCTGCAGCTACCGCATACCAAAGTCATGGAATCAAAAAATTGTAGAGCTGGAAGAGACCCCAAGGGTCATCTTGTCCAACTCCCTTGTAATGCAGGAATCCTGCCCACAGGCGTCCCTGGGTGGGCTCAAACCACCAACCTTTTGGTCAACAGCCAAGTGCCCTGACCCATTGAGAGTCACCTGTTAACCAACCACCTCAATAGCTTCGTCAAGCGGGCTTTGCTTCATTAACTTGACAGCAGAGTGAGCCTCAGGGAGCAGGAAGCTGATACAAATTGCCGGGGCAAGGTGGTCTGAAAGGGAGCTCGGCTACCTTGCATAATTTTAATGTAATTCTTAACAATATATGAATTTCCTGTTCAACGCCACACAATTCTGAACAAAGACTTGCAAAGTTCTGCCGTTAACCAAGCATCTCCGACTCTCTATGAACGTTCGCTGGTGCACTTTGACGGTACAGCAGCGCAGCCTCACCATATTATGTGCAGTGTGTTTGTATGGTTTTCGTAGGCGAACATCGTGTGAATGCAACACTGTTGCTGGGCGATACACGTTCGTGTTTTGCTACGCACACAAGTTTAACGTTTGAATTATACAGTTAGTTCAGCAACGGCCGTGCGGGCAATGATACTATTGAAATTAGTCATAAGGATATGAATATTCTCAAGAAATATTATCATATTTATTACTAATAAAAATGAGAGCGTGCATTTATTTTATATCCTGTGTAATGATTTAGAACTGCTCCACCCTTTGTTTTGTTGGCCTGAACTCCCTCTTGGTGATCCAGGTGACCACTGGGACTGGAGAAGATAAGGGGAGTGGATGAGCCTGATTATTATAATATAATATAATATAATATAATATAATATAATATAATAATACAGTGGTACCTCAGGTTATATACACTTTAGGTTACAGACTCCACTAACCCAGAAATAGTGCTTCAGGTTAAGAACTTTGCTTTAGGATGAGAACAGAAATTGTGCTCCGGCGGCACGGCAGCAGCAGGAGGCCCCATTAGCTAAAGTGGTGCTTCAGGTTAAGAACAGTTTCAGGTTAAGTACGGACCTCTGGAACGAATTAAGTACTTAACCTGAGGTACCACTGTATAATATAATAGCAATATATTATTTATACCCTGCCCATCTGGCTGGGTTTCCCCAGCCACTCTGGGCGGCTCCCAACAGAATATTAAAAACACGATAAAACATCAAACATTAAAAACTTCCCTAAACAGGGCTGCCTTCAGATGTCTTCTAAAAGTCAGATACTTATTTATTTCCTTGACATCTGATGGGAGGGCATTCCACAGGGAGGGTGCCAGTACTGAGAAGGCCCTCTGTCTGATGGCACACTCAGGTCCTCCACCAGAGACCTTGCATCATGCTCCGTGTTCAGAGACTATTATCAGAAGCTGATCAACAGAAGCAGGGCCTTTCAGATGCTGGGTATGGAACACCCTCCCTGCTAGGGAGGCTCACTCAGTTGCTTCCCATATAGGCAAAGCTTGCTCCTTTTTGGAAAGCTTTTTGGGGAGGATGGGAGCTCTAGATGTGTTCACACAGTCCTTTTTTTATAAATAATTTTTATTAAATTTCCAATTAACAAATCAATCATATCACATTAATTCCAAATTATACCAATACATAATAAACACCAAATATTTAGCCGAATTTTAAATTTTTGTTGGGGGTACCCATGCTTCGAGTTCAGAAAGGGTCCAACCATCTCATATTTCTGCTGCTTTGACGTTCACAAGTCCCATCTTTCCATCTCTTTGTTGTTATCCTTTACAAATCCCATCTTCCAATCTTCTTGTTGTTATCATTTTTCTTCTTAATAACCTCTGAATTATCTCCACAAGCGAATTGAAGCAAACTTTATTATAGTCCTGTGTGGGTTTTCACACTGATCCAAAAGTCCTGTTCAAACAGCAGGCGTCATTTCGACAGTTCCCATAAAATACAGTCTAAGCGTCTGCTCATTAACTTTCCCAGACCAGTTGCTCCATAAATCAGCCTTTCCAGGGGAGTTGTTGCCAATTCAGCCGTGGAATTCAGATATAATAATAAAACCATAGCACCTCTCCCCCTTTGACTGTAAATCTTGCAACCAAGTCTGTCTCATAATGGCGGTTCCCAATTAGAACTGCGTCACACCAAAAGCCTTTCGTTTCGTTTCCAGATCTTCCGCAAAACAAAGCCTTTGGTTAATAATTTTCTTTCCACACAGTTTATTTTCCCATCTCACTTGCTATCAATCATGTGGCGGTTCTTCTTGGGGGGGGGGTTGTTTGGTAAATGATATTAAAAAAGAGAAAAGTTCCCCCCCCCTTTCCGATCCGTTTCAACATACCAACATAGCTGTAATTCTTTGATGTAGTCTTCTGTTCAGTCCAACCTGTCACTCAGCTTCTCAGTGGTCGATTTAATTAGCAATCAGTACAGCCTTTCCTTCGGTCGAAACATGTGCATTTACTCTTCTCGAATTATTTATCTTGAGCAATGCAACCAGGATCGCCATTAGAAGTAGTGTCCAGGAGATCCAAAAACTGACTCGAGGGCTTTCCGTCCAGTGCCCCCACCCCCTCCTTCTTTCGAACTCGAGGGTGATTTATTGGCAACTGTGCACGAGGCAGCGTCTCCCCATCCCCTGGGGAGATCCAGGGAGGCTGATTTACTCCCATCGTCAGCCTCTTAATTAC